TGTAATAGACTTTCAGATCTCGAGCACTTATTTTTCTCTTTTAGACACCCACCGGTGAGCTTCCTGCACTGCTGTGCCACGTTAGTGTTTAAAAACATATTTAAAACCCGTGTGTCTTGCTGTTTGTGTTAATGACATTTGCTTTCAGGTTTTGAAAAGGTAAACCACAAATCAAATATTGAACTTACTTCGTTGTACACCAGAGCACAGACCATCCTCCATCACTTTGTAGATGTTGAGATTTGTCTCGTAAAACTTAATATTGTCCTTGAGTTACCTGAGGCCACTCAGCATGTTGCCCTGAAATATACTCATCCAGAAACCTTGAATATGTTTCATGTGATAAAACTCAGACCTGTAAGATTTGCCAAAAACACTGCTTAAAAAGGTCTTATACCTGTAGCTTTTATTCTTGCTTTTTTAATCTACTTTTTTACAGTGATTGTAGGTTAAATTAAAAGATGTTAATTTTTTCTCACTTTGGCTACTAGTCTCTTGTTTAAAGTTACAGTTTTGATAGGTAACATGTTAAGTACCCAGTCTTAGTTCAGCTGAGAACTGGCTACCACAGCTACTTTAAAACTGAATTTCAGTTTGTCGTATTTCCTAACTTTGCGACAGAGCCTTGTAGCTGATTTTTTTTTTTTAGTGTTACATTTCAATGCACCGTCATTGTGCTACGAGTGTTTTCTTATGAACCTAGAAGTAGTAATTTTGTTAGCATGGAAATAAAACTGATTTAATTCCATTTCTATGAGTCTTCAGGAACCCAGATTGAACCTGACTTTCACAAACTACTCTTTGTTGTCTGAAAAACTGCAAACTTCTGGTATTAGAATTCTTGTTCAGCACATGAAGAATTGGACATTACCTTAGTTATCTCCCTGTCTGCACTTCTGCCAATTTTCTGTTTGTGGGGGAAATGTTTGAAAACTTGTGTATTCTTCAACATAACAATGTCTTCTCTGACCGAATCATGTGCACTACCCATTTGATGTAGAAATTAAAATTGACGTTCCATATTCAGAAGAACCGTACAAGATTTGTCTGATTTTTCTTTCTCTGTGTAATCTTGCTTCCAAGAAGACAGGTGGATGGCTTATTTTGAAATACCCCAGAGCTTTTCAAACAGAGAGTGAAACCAAGCTCAGCTTTTGTGAACTGAAGGTGCTGTACGGTGACACGAAGGAGGAAGCCCTGAATGAACTTAATTTGAAGTTAAGGCTAGCTGCATCTCAGGAAGTATAGGTGAAATGCATTGTGTGCAAAAATCTTTGTATTTCTTGAAGCACTTGGAGTTTCTAAACAGCTTGAAAATACTTGAATATTAGTAATTAATTTGGAAGAAAAGGTTGCATCCTTTTTATCAAGCTCAAACAATACATAATAAGTTCCAAGCAGTCATCCATACTGGAATTAGGGATTACAATGTAGCAAGGTCTTCAGTAAAAACAGCACTGTTTTTTAAACATGGTCGTGAGTCTTTGGATATCTTCTGTGTCTAATATGGTATTAGGTCAGATTTAAGTTTGCAAACAAACTTTTAAGTCTTTGCATTTCATTTAGGCTTGTCCTGTACTGTGTTTGGAGGTGCTGGTCAGGAGTTTTAAGAAATGGCATAGGTTTGGGTTTTAATCATGAGAGAAGTAGCTGCTAACTTAAATTTCTTTACTTGCAGAAGCCATTCATGCCATTTTGGTTTACAGTCAAAGTGTAGAAGAACTTCTGAAACGCAGAAAAGTCTGTCGAGAAATAATTTTTAAGTATTTGGCAGCACAAAAAATTCCAGTGCCTCCTTCCTCTGAGAAACAGCTACTCATTGATCGTGTAAAGCAATACTGGAGTGGGCAGCTCAGAACACATGCCTTAGAATCAGGGGAGAGAAAACCAAACATAGAGGTGAGTGCTGTTTTCTGAAAGACCTGATGATGCTTAGCATTGCTTTTGCAGCATAAGCAGTGTAAATGTTCTAATGTACATCCAAAATGTGGCTCTTCACCTGTGTTTAGGAAGCTACTGAAACTCTTTAACTCTTGGTTTGTTTGGGTTTGGTTTTTTTCTTCGTTTTTTTTAAATTACGTCATTTAAAGGTGTCTGTGCCAACATATCCCTTACAGAGCAGTCTTCTGCTCTGTCTTGCAAAGTATATTAGGGCATTTGTACTGTAATGCGTGGGGTCTTCTCTGTGTTTTTAATTTTTAAGTTGTACTGTAAGCTAAACCAGTGGGTATTCACAAATAATTCTGTGGATTCAAGGACAACTGAAAACAGTGTTAATGGTACAGAAATCCTGCATAGCCTCTTGTCATTTTTAATGTGGTGGATCTTCTTAAACTTTTGGTATAGATCTGGGATTTCCAGTCATCCTTCAGCCACACCAGACACTAGCGATACCATTGGTAGGTGTTGCATTAAGAGGCAGAGCAATTTGGCAGAAACTAAACCCCTTTGCATTCCAGTCGATCCTCAGATATCAGAGGGACTGGGGGCGGCTGGGCTTAGATTCTAAGTGATGCCCAAAGTCAGCATTAGTAGTCCGGTCATGCCCGACGCCTTCGTTGGACTATCACGGGTCCGGATACACTACTAACATCACACTACCTGCTCAGCCGGACACCTCCTGAACTCACATGGCCGCACTCAGGTACAGTCACATTCAGGGACAACACACTCAGCTGTGTGCGATTTATTGAAGCAACAGATGCACAAGTTCTTTGGATTGCCGGTGATAAATTCACTGTCTGTAAAGCATGTGCAATAAATTAAATACGGCTGGGTTACACATGCATAGGGTGTGTAAAAGCAACTCTATAGAGATTCCTAAAGTTCCCGGGGGTTTGCTCTGGATAGCCGAGCGTTCGCATCTTACCCAAAGGCGTCCCAATGCGGGGGAAGAGAGGGCCAGCCTTTCGGCAGATTGTAAAGGTCAGGAGTGATGGTATCTTCCCTGACATCCAGCTCTTTTCAAATTATTTTATAGTGTTTTACTTTGCAGGTGGAGCTTGAGCATTGAAAAATTCAGTGCGCACGCTCGTTGAGGGGTGGTTGCACCTTGGGAGGTGGGTAACTTTTGAGAGGGTTGTGCGTTTTGGTATTATAATGATACTATAATACTATATATATAATGATACATAACTATAATAAGCAAAGTTCACTCAGAGTACAGCATTTCATCAAAAGTTGACTGACTGACAGGTCGCTGACCCAGGGCATCGAATGTGCAGCTTATTAATGTACACACTGTGTACCTTTAAATTCCCTTGTTCACAGAGCGTGACCACAACATCTCCACTCCGCTCAACCCTCCATGCAGTTCGAAGTTCACCAAGTTCCCCTGATGTTGCCAACATCTAGGTTTGCTTAGGGAATTGTCATCGTACAGACTCGTCGTACATTAGCTACCTTTCACCCTGTCTCAATGCTGTTCTTAGAGTGTAAATTTCTAAATTGTCCCTCAGCAATTATTCCACAGTAGGGCAGATCCCAGCACAGAGCAAAGAGATGCTGTTGGTAGTAGATCGATGGCAGAGCGGAAGTGTCTCTTGGATTGTGGTCTTTAGACAATGTTGCGGGGGGAGGGAGAGAAAGGAGAGAAAACTGGCTTTTTGTAAGTGGCCTTGATCTACTTCTAGAGACAGTGCAATCGGAGTAGCACTGTCTGTAAGGTGTTTTCCTTTTTACCTCTTTCAGTTAGAGTGTAGAATGGATTTGAGCGAATTTTTATATTGTTGAAATGTAAAGTTTGTAGCAGTGCCAGGTCTGTGTTATTTCTTTTTCCCTTGATATTAGTAACACTCAATACAGTGTAACTAAATGTGTTTTGGCAATTACAGGTTATTTTGAAGTTCAAAATTTTGACATGTAAGAAATCCTCGTGGTGTAATGAACTTTCAGTGTTTTATTAGTCTTGGATCCTTACTATGTAGTTCTAAATAGCCACCTTGCTCTTTCAAGTGTTGTACTTCTGAGACCTAATGGGCAACAGCCCCACCAGCTGGACTGTTAGAGCTCTGTAGCTGTTGATAACCTATTGCACTGAGCTTTCTCTCAGGGATTAATTGATGAGAATTATGTTTTAGCTGAGAACTGTTTTAAAAAAAAATTGTTTTGTGTGCCTTGCCTACTTTGGGAAAAAAAAAACGTTGCTCTTGCAAGAACAATTCCCAAATATTACCCCATAGTGAAGTTTTATGATTGAAGTTAAGTAAATTAAATTCTCCAAAGTACTTAAAACACATTCACAAAGAATGAGACGTTTAGCTGGTTATTTATCGCATACATCCTTCGTTGCCTTTGTTTTCTCGTAATTCTTGTGGCCCTCACAACCTAGAAGAAATAGGTAACATGAACCTATGTAACAGAACTAGAAATAAATTACAGCTTGTGAAACAAGTACAGCATCTCTATATAGAAGTCTCCAAACTTTTCATACTTAATTACTTAATACTTACTTAAAATATACTTAATATTTACTAGACTCCTATGTTAGCAAACTTGACATTTGATTTACTTTTAAAAGTCTTGCTGTCAAGTTGCAAATACTGAGAAGACCTACAAAATAACTGTACATTTAGTTCTTGTTCAAAAAACACATCACCTTACAGTTGCAGGTCATGTATCTTTACGCTGGAAAGTTTGGATGATTTTTCTTAAGTAAAAATACCTTGCCTAGTCTAAGAGAAAGCAGAGTCTAACCAAACTGCGTATGTACTAAATAAATACGATCACAGGACTGTGACTTGAGCATCCAATTGTTGCCTTTTACAGTGATGCTTCCTTTAGAAAGAAGTGTCCTCTGAACCAAATGGGTTTTCGTAATCGGCTTAAAAACCTGTCCTTAAATATCTAATTGCCAAGCAACTTGTTTCCTAAATGTTTGCGCTTAAATTTTGCTATTCTTTTACCCATAGTTGTAGGCATACCAAGAATTCAATATTCAGGGAATAGGGTTTTTTTTTTCTTAGCTTGATCCATGATAGTGTCTAAAAAAAATCTTACTGCTTACTTCGTTGCAGTACATGTTTAGTGATACAACACTGGGAGTGGTTTGTCACCTTCTTCTGATACGGTTTTAAGAATATGACTATTGGTTCCTCACCAATACTTGCTTTTGCTGTGTACTGTGAATTTGGCCTTAAAACTTTATACCCAGCATTCTGTTGTCAGTTTCAGCAACCCATCATTAAACGTAAATATTATTTGGAAGTATTTCTTATCCCCCTGCATCTTAGATGTATTTTAGCGCTGTCTGTGTGTCACTTTCTGTAAAACAAGGGAAGAAGAGCACAGGTGGCTTGTCCATAAGCTACGGGGAACTAGTGGAAGATGTGTTTTGAGTCGTTTCATGTTTCTTTCAATGACCCATTCTTCCCTAAGGCTTCTAGACAAGACAAGAATCTTTGACTAAGCCTTTTCAAGTTATTCTTTGAAGAAATGGCTGTCTGCTAGCAATGTTTACTTTGTCTCACTACTTAAAAATACTTTCTCAGTGTTGAACAAGGGATTTTTTGACAGTCTGAAGGAAAGATTTTAAGACAGGCTGAATGGAGTTGCCTTTATTCACGCAGTAAGCCGATGCTGCTATGTGAAAATCCGTGCAGCCATTCTATCCCAATGTCTTCTTGTCTCAGCCTCTTTTAAGTGATCAGTTGCATCACTTAATTAGAAAAGTAACGGGGATTCATCAAGACTTTTGCCTATTTTGGAGGAGCAAAGGTAACATAAGTTATGGTTTTCTTTGATTTGGGCTCTTTTCCTATTAGAAATATGGTGAACACTACAAACATCACTCATAAAAGTGACTAAGCATCTTTTTAGATTATTTTTGTCAGTCTTGCAAAAGCATTCTGTCAGCTTCAGGTATTAGGATGTGCATTTTCAAAAGGTGACTTCCTGGTAAGTCCTATTTGCTCTTCTCAGCTATGTGAAGATGCAGAGACCAACACAATTCACCAAATTAAAAGGTACCAAAAAGAGGAGACTGAAGGGAACATGAAACAGGAAAAACATGTCAACATAATTGCAGTGATATGCTTAAATATGAGATTAGCTTTTCAGGTCGGGTTTGTATCCTTTTTGTTTTTCTGGAAATGTAAAGGCCAGTGAAAAGTTACTAACGCAGGTACTTCTTACTTGGCAGAAATTTTGTCTCAGGGTGTGAGAATCCTGGTCTCATGGAAGTTGTTGAAAAATCCTTCCCTGCCGTTTTTCAGTAGAACCAGGATTTTCTTCTTTGTTTATAAAATGTAGACCAAGACAAAACTGAAGGACTATTCTAGCTGTAATTCAAAGAACCTACTCTGATTCTCTAGATAACATAATCATGATCTTAAAAATAAATGAGATTTTGCTTTGGTGTTTTTCTTCAGGCATTCTGTCTCCGAACACTTGAAGAAGACTTAAAATGTTTAAATTAAGTTTTACATTATTTTATGTTGTTCTAAATGGTAATCTTGCATGTTAAGGCTAAATAGTTTTAAGAAAAAATTGTGCTTGATTGCAGAGTCATGGACAGAGACAAAAGTCACCACAAGATGACATTCATCATCTAGGAGAACAATTTTGTCAATGGTTCTTTGAGCTCCTGAATTCTCAGCATCCCTTGGGAGTGAAGTCTGAAGAAAGATGGGGACCACAGCATTTTTGGGAGGATGCTAAAATGAAGTTCTGTTACAACACCTTAGAAAAAAACATGGAAGAATATGTGGGTGCAGAAATGGTGAGCCTTCGTCTGCTTTCGTTGGTTAAAGAAGAATATCTTCTATTCAACCCTAACTTGCATGCCAGTGGACTGAAATGTGCCATGTCTCCACACGGGTTAGTACTGGTAGCAGTGGCTGGCACGGTACACAGAGACAACGCTTGTTTGGGCGTCTTTGAACAAATTTTTGGACTCATTAGTTGCCCTCTTAGGGAGAATACCTGGAAAATAAAAGTTGTGAATCTTAAAATAGTTGGACAAAATGCTCTGGAGCCTGGGATGCAAATTGAAAAACCCTCCCTAAAATATGAATCAAACCAACTGCAAGAGTTGTATGATGGGAAAGAACTGTGTTTAAACCTTAGAAATTCTGAGCAATTCTTTCACAACTGAGTGACTAGGTGGGGGGGAGGTGAACATACACCACTTGCAGTGCATAGTCGAATATTGCAATGGTTGCAGCCATATGATGATGTCTCTTTTTTGAGTCAGGTTTGCTGGATGGCAAACTGAGATGCAGGGTCTAAAGTATTAATACAGGTGATGCTTTTGGGCACCTTTCCAGGTATTTCAGAATATTACTTTAGATTTTGTACTGTAGTTAGGAATGGCGTTAGTTTGGTTATTCTTGGTTACAAAACATTGTTACATTTAAATATGGGTTGGCAGCAGTATATAATGAGCTTGATGACTCGGGGTTCACAAACTGCAGATTGCTTCTCTTCAGGTCACCAGTTTCAACTCTTACCCGAGTTGTAACAGGAGGCCATTGCTTCTGGCGTTTTGAAATTGGGATTGGTGAGTATCTAAGTGGACATCTAAGGGCCAAGAAAACCATGTGCTGCTTTAGGAGTTTTTGGAGAGAACAGACAAAATAATGTGAATGGAGACTGCTGCCATTTATGATCAAAATGTGGTTTTATCACTGAACAATGCAGGTAGTTTAATGGGACAATGCAGGGAACTTAGCACTGTTGAAGTCTTTTTCTCTTTGGGTTAATAGCTTGCTTTCCTTTTACCTTGTGGGTCCAACTTTATATGGAACACAGACAAACTCTCCCCAAGCAGACAAATTTGAGATGGTTGCCCAGGCATCCATTTCTAGCACTGACTCTCTTGGATCAAGTAGTTGATTTAATGACTTCACAGCAGCACTGTATGAACCAAATGCTTTGATAATTATTTTGTATATAGTTATAACAGAATTTTTAATATAGAAGTTGTGATTTTTGTATGTTTTCTCAAAATAAGAATTTTATCTACTCTGATTTAATACATTGACTAGAAGTCAATTTGTTAACACTGGGCAGTTACAATGACAAGTGATACTAAATAAGTAATCCAATCACTAGTTAATAACTGAAATTAGTGCTATTGTAGAACTTGAATTTTTTTACTTCTTTTTTTTTTAATTTATGAGTGATTAGAGGTGAAATGAGACGGAAACTTCTTTTTCTGCAACTTGCCTGGATTGTTTGCGAGTTTTGTTTTAATTTTATAGCGTCACCAATACAAGTTGTGAAAACGGAAACATTCCCCACAACATGGGTACAGTTCGTTTGGTTTTGGTATGTTTGCTGATGATGACAAATGGTAAAATTATGGGTGGGTGAGAGGAAAGAAGAAGATTCAGGTACGCACAGAACTGATTTTTATGAACAGTCTGAATCTCGAGTTCACTTTAAAAATTTCTAAAATAATTTATTTTCGAAGTGACAGTTCACATACTGTGTTGGAATGTTCTTTCCCAATAAAGAGTGGAGTTGTAGCTTGTTCAGCTACTGATGTATAATGAATAAAAATCAACCTGAATTTAAAACTCAGAAGAAGTGTTTTCCTGTGTGTTATGAGAGTTGCATTCCTCTTCAGGTGAGGGCAAAAGCCCATCTAAAGGCCTAAATGGGTACTTGTTCAACATTCAGTATGGCAGTCTGTAATTCAGCTAAAGTTTATGTCATTTCCAGAACTGTACTTTGTAACTGTGAGCGTAGCTATTACTTGAGTCGGTGTGTTAAATGTGAACGTGACTAAGGGTGTAGTTTTCATTACTGCTTTAAGCTGCTGTCGTGCAGGCGGTCCCCTTCCTCCACTCAGGTACGTGTCCTTGCTTCCTTCTTGTATCTGCATTAATGCTTGTGCCAGCTCTGAACAAGAGGGCGTGGGGACTGATCCCAGTGAAAGCTCACTCATTGTCAGAAACCCTTCAGGCTGAGCAGCTCTGTGAGAAGGCTGGCCACACAAGTGCTAGTGTCAACTTGAGGAACAGAGGTGAGAATTTGCTTTTTTTTGGCGACAACCTGAATTTCTGTGGGATTGAGCAAATGATCAAATAGCAGTCTTTGTTAATTCTTACATTCCAAATGCTTATGCTTGATAACTTCAAAATACCGAATGCAAGGAGCGTTGTGGTAAATCAGCTTTTTACTAAGGCTGGTACCTAGTGAGCTTGTTCTTACTCCTCCAGTTCTCCTACACAAAGCATGCAAGAAAATGTTAAATTGTCACAGCCTTGTGACCTCTGTAAATCCCTATTCTGTCGCAGAGTGGAGTAAGTGCTGTATGATTTACTGATGACCTGTTGGCGCAGTTGCTGCTCTCGGGTTGTTGATCGGACTGTTAAGGATCTGCATACATTAGTCGGTGCTCATTAGCTGCTGAATGGTAACTGATTTGTGCAGCAGCTAATTTTGGTGTGTGCTTATGTGTTACTTCAAGTTACCAAGGAACAGCTGGTATCAGCAGCTGATGAGCAGTTGATGGCTGCTGAAGAGCAGCAGTTATCCCAGGCTGCTGGTGCAAAATGCAGGACACGGTACAGTATCTGCTCTTTATCTCACCACCTGAATGTTTGGTAGTTACAGTCAGCTGGTGCTGACTAACTGTGGTTTTGCAGCACTTAACTGGTGTGACTTTTTATCCTGTGATAACACCTTCCTCTTTTTGTAGAAGCATTCTTGTTTTGTACCACGTCAGAATTGTGAGGTCATATTTATCATACTACACAACAGGATGTCACAGTTTTTTTTTCTGGTGTTCTTATTATTGTTTATAATATGTATCCTTACTGGGAGTTCAGAATTCAGTTTTCAAATCATTGTCACACTCAGATTTTTTTTTTTTTTTTTAGCAGAAAAACACTAACTGCAGGGTAAATTTGAGAAGGTACTTTTAATTTAACCTTGACTTTAAGTTAGGATTAAAGGTACGACTTGTTTAAATGGAGTACAGCCAAAAACCTTTACTTGAAATATTTGTAGAAGTGATTTTATTACTCCCTGTAGATGCTGCAGCTCAGAGCTGAAGCAATTTCTAGTCCGTTTACCTTTGGAAACAATGGCCATTTTAGTTGCATTTAGGAGTTCCAGAAAAATTAAATGAAAGTTCTTTAAAACTTTCCATCAATTTTCCTTTGTAGCAGTATTTACTGAAACTATTTGTCTTGAGCTTTGACTAACAATTTCTTATGTATATCCCTACTACTTAAGTTGAAATGTTAAATCTATATTTTCTAGACCTGTTTCCCAAAAGTAATATGATAGTAAGCAAAATGCTGACTTGCAACAAAGCGGATGGAACTTGCTGAATTGTGTAAATGTTAAACAGTGGAAATCGTGACCCTCTGTTCTAATCAGCCATACCAGACAGATTTAATTTTTTTGTTTCTGAAGTGGGAAGCCTGAATGTCTTAAAGCGATATATGAGCAGAACCTCTGTGATCATGCAGGCCAGCTACCTTACTGCAGGTAATGCTGTATTGCTTTGGCTGTGCTTGCTCTCCTTATGCAGAAGAACAAATGTAGTCACAAGGAGACCTTACACAGAGCATTAAGCCATTTCTGACTTCCGTCTGTGGTCTAAAGATCTAGCAGTGCTCAACTGCGTGTTATTTTATCAAGCTTCTAATAGTAACAAAAGAAATGTGTTTTCTCTGGATGCTCACTTCCTCCATGAAATTACATTTTTAAGTGTATTTAGGAATTTGTAAAAGGTGTCTAGTATTCTTCATGTATGTCCTGCTTGCTTAATAATCTGAGGAGGAAATCTTAAGGTTGATGACTTGACTTCATCAAAATACTTGCTAGGTTGCATTTTTTTTTCCCCTCATAAATTGCAAAGGTAGATGAAAGTTGCCTTTGCAGACTTCAGTGTCTCTTTTTCTTAATGTTTCGTAATGTATGTACCATTAAGCAAGCTGTCAGTTTGACTCTGTTTCCTACTTCCAGTTCCCTGAACTTAAAAACCCCAATGCTTATTTCAGGTACTATTTCAAAAGGTGTGAATTCTTCATTGTTGCTGGATAAGACTACTTCACATCTCGGGTTAGCTCTAGTTTATTAGTTGACAAATCTACTGCAATATACTTGCAGTGGTGGCTGCAGAAGTAGCTCAGCTGTTAAACCATTGGATTGAGGAAAACAACTTAGTTTTCTCACCTGAAATGTTTGCAAGCAATAGCATGTCTCTCTGGCTGCAGAGTACCTACAGTCCTCTTCATGTATCTTAATAGAAATTGGGCAGGATAGAAATGACGAAGTTTCCCTGCAAAAGCTCTCTATGGAAATGCAGGCTCTTAATTCTGGAGGGGGTCTGGGTGCCTTCAGAAGCATAGAGATCTCCTAATTAGTAGCTGTTATTTTGAAATGGGAAGCTAACAGTACGTCGGACACTAAGCGCTGCTAAGAACACGTCTTCGAGCCGAGGGTCATACTGGCTTTGCGGGTCGGCGGCAAAGCCCGCTGTAGGAGGTGGGGGAGGCAGGTGTCTGCGGGAGAACCGGCGGCGCTGACCCATCTTCTGCTCCACTGTTTGAACAGATGCTTGTGCTGTGTTTTTTTCCAAACAGGCTGTAGGAAACTGTCTTAATGCAGTACCCCTCGTAGGCATGGATCACACGCTTTTCAAATAGTATGAATTTGACTTTGTTTGTAAAATCTTTACTAACTCTTTTTGGCAGTTGAAATAATTTGCATGAGTCAGATGCTTTTTGTGGCCTGTAGCTGAAAACTGATTTAGTATGAAGTGTATAACTGTTTAATAAGAGCAACAGATCTAAAAGTGGTGATGAAATGTGTAGAGTAACTTCATCCTACAGAGTGATGCCATGCAGTAACTGGTGGCAGAAGTAATCCTAGTGTTATAAAATGTGAAAGATGATCGCAGCAGCAAGGTTGTATCATTGTAGAGTACTCTATCTTTACCCTCTCTGTATAATTTACTAAATGTGAAGATCTAGTATTATATAAAATGTGCGAACGCAGCTACTTTGCCAGCAGGACATTACTAGGAATGGCAGTGTTTTCTTGTATCAAGCGTCAAGCATCACCTGCTGCAATTTTTCTTTTTTTTACCTTGTGACTGGCTTCTTGATCTCTTCCAGCTAAACTGAGAGAACT